AATATGACAAGTTTTAATAAGTTCATCCGACAGTCTCAAATAGACTCATCCAACAATTATCAATATTTTTCTCAAAATCATTTATATTGCACTGTTCTTTTAGACACGGGTTACGCCTAGTTATACATAAGATCGCGGCATCAAAAAAAATTACTACCAAGTCAAAAAAATAATTTATGATCATAAATGTTCGCTTATTTCATTTGTAGATATTAATTAAGAGTGAAATGAAATAATAATATAACATTAAAAAAATTGAAGGGTGACATATTCTCATTGATTGAAAAATTTATGATACCAAAAAATAATTTTTAGATACTATACTAATGACAAGTTAAAAATTTAGATGTTCTAAATTTGAATCTTAACAACCTCTTGAGCTTAGGCCATAAGGGGTTTATTTCTCATGAATACCCTAATCCCGATGTGAATGGTCTGTTTTTGACCGGATTAAGAAATGGATTAATCGATGTGTACATAAATTGACTCAAATATCCGAAATTATTGAATCAAAAAAAGAAGTTATAATAGTAATGCCTCAATTTCTAGAGATTTTCACATATAATCGAATTAGGATGCACAATCCTCCTTTGTCGTGTCGAGCTCTTGTCGTGATTAAGTTGTATTATATTGAAAGTTACTCGATATTTTTTCAATTTATAATCACATATAATCAAGTTCATAAAATTTGTTTTGTGAATACGTGATGTGCAATTAAATTCATGTCAATTTATTTGTTAAGCATGTATAATTAGTCAACCTGTTTATTAATTGGGTATAATTGGTTCACCCAATGACAACCGGAACCATTTAATATCAAATTTAAATCTAATAATTTTATTTTGATTTTGTATGAAATTAAAAATTAGAGTTAAAGAATTATCAACCCACTCTCGCGCTTCAAAAAGCATTGGAGTATGACGAATCACATGATGTATTCCCTTGTACGAAGTAATAGAATTTATGGTATAATTCAATCAAAATCTCTTAAAAAATTCAGTTTCCATGACAACACAATCTGCCTACCATTTTGCAGACTATTAAATAAATAAATTGCAAACAGATATTTCGTCATGCGTCCAATGTGTAACGAAAAGCTAAAGAGTGATAGACCTCTCGCACCAATAAAGACCCTCAATTTTTCAATGATCTAATAGACCTCTCACACCAAACTTTCTTCTTCTTCCTCTTCCATCAAGTCTTAGGGCGTTTTAGATTGTATCTTAAAAAATAGTATTCAAGATCAATTTTTAAGAAGAATGTTAGAAAAATATGTTTTGATATTTTTTGAGATGAAGAACATGTTTGGTTAAATGATTCCAAAAACAGTTCCACAAAATAAAAAATATCATATAAAAATATTTTAATATATTAATCTTGATAAAATGCAAAAAAAAAAAAAAGGAAAATAGCCATCGACTAAATTGGTTGCCGAAGCTTCGGCGAAGTAATCCAAGTAACATAAAACCCAAAATCTAAGATCCATAACATGAACAGATTTATCGATCCAGATCCATAACATGAACAGATGAAGAGAGAAGCACAAAATCTGAAAACCCAATTGTCGAAGAAGAACCCTTCTAGATCTAAAATCCAAATTTGAAAACCTAGATCTGAACCCTGTCAGAGAGCTCTCGGTCGTCACAGAAGAGGATCTGCAGTCGTCGGAGAAGGCGTTATGTGTGTGTTCTTGTCTAGTTTCGCCAAAGTGGAGAGAGATAAAGTTAGAGAGAGAGAGAGAGAGAGGCAGGCAAACAAAAACTTTTATACTATGACATATTTTGCTGCTATGGAAGTTCAAATGGGAGATCTCATTAATAGTTGTGTTGACTGATCAAATTTTAGGACCAAATTTGGAGCTCAAATGAAATGACAATCGACTTGGACTTCTTTGATTGATGTGATGTCATTTGAGCCCCAATAAAAATTTCAAATAATCAACTAACATGTCATTTGGACTCTAAATTTGATCCCAAAATTTAATCAGTCTACTATCACTGTTTCTATTTTAACTTAAAAACACATAAAACATCATTTAGATATTCTCTGATTTTTTATTTCAGTTCCCACTTTTTTAAAAACTATTTTTAGAAATTTCTAATCGAACGGCATAAATTTAGTTTTTAGTGTTTTGAACACAAAAACATATTTTTGGAACACAATCCAAACAGCCGTTAGTTTTTAGTTTTCTTGTGGTGGTGCCTCTGTCTGAGTTTCATACAACCACTCTTTTACCTTGTGTGCAGTTCCGGGTTCCGGTTCACCAATCTTTCCAATCGTTCCAACTACGCATCCATTAAGTCGAAAACAACAATGCAAACATCGGATACGCATAACTATTTAAATGGTGAAGGTCATGATAAATGTTACCACCACCATTTCTCTCTGAACAAACAACAGAGAAGTTTCCAGAATTTCCAGTTAACAAGGAAGCAGAAAGCTTCAATGCTCCAAACCCAAATCGATGCCAAATTTCTGGGATTTTTTCGTAGAAAATCAAAATCGAAATCGAAAACTCTAGGTGAAGCGCAGCAGAAGAACATACGTCACCTCAAAACAAATTAGCAACATGTATGACAAAAGATAAACAAGAAATGCCACCGCAATTTCGGCAACAAAAACTATCCCAGTCAGAAGTCTCAGAACAGGGAAATATCCGAAACATTTGCTGTACTGAACACATCAGCAAACTCAACCTTCCAAAAATAGATGACGTTCCAGAACCTTCTTTGCTTTTTTGGTTTTTTTTTTTTTTATTTTGGATGACTAAGAGCCATTCCAACCCGAATGTATAATCACTTGCAAGTTATATGCAGCATGTCAACCAAGTCATCTCTTGCAAGACTCGAACTTAAAATTTTGAGACACTAATCACTCTTTGGCCTTCTAATTGAAACTACCTAGAAACATTTTTAATAAGATTGTCAATGAGTCATGTCATATTTTTTTTTAAACTGTGTAAGTTTTGTGTCAAAATTAGTTCAATCCCCACCCGATCAAATCTAGTGAACTTCTTGATAGTTTTGTCTCAATTTCACGAATCATGTATAAAACTACGAGGCCTAATTCCCCAGTGTTTTGGCACTGACTGCAGTAAATGGCATAAGTTGGACATCATCTTGGCCTTTCAATATCTGGCAAGCCAAGATGATTCCTGGAGCAAAGACTTGCTGACAAACTCTTACGTGGAACAGCCAAGTTGAGTTGGTACTGTCACTTTCTTAGTTAAACAACTGAAAGACTTGGTTCAGTAGAGATATATATATGGGAACATGGACAAGAACCAGAAGACAACAGAAACAGCTTAATCAAGCAGAAGGTGGAGAATCAACTTTCTGAGAATCCTACAAAATATCAAGCCATTGATGAACAACCCCTTCTCACATCCACAATTGCAAATTTCTAAAATGGTCCACAAAACACCTTTTATAGAAACTAATCCTCTAAAGGTTGAAAGAAAAGACATTTTCATTTGGAGTGAACCTAGCCGGCTCTGGGCCAAAGAAACAATCGAAAACCCCAATTCTTCCTAGCTTCTGGAATAATGGAAGAGATTACGAGAGCAGTCCCCCATGGACCAACAGTGATGTGGGAATTGAACAAATTGAAAGTTACCTTTTGGATCCCTTTCAGAGTGTTGCTACGTGTCAACCTACCAATGATCTGTGCACGTCCACGTCAGCTTCGTAATTTATGCTGACATCATTGCATGCCTCACCCACGACTGCCCACATACACAATCCAGAAGAGATTAAAAAATGGAAAGAAGAAAAACCTCTTGCATCATCTGTCTTACAGCTGAACTAACAGAAATAAACATTTTTGCAAGCATAGAGAAATTTCCTGGCTGTGACTGTGTACACTCTTTAGTGGAAGACATAAGCGCAGAGAGAGAGAGTGTGTGTGTGTGTGGGATCACTCATATGATGATGCTAAGCAGGTAATATTTTTCCTAAACGTGGCATCTCATTGACCAGATATAAGAATGATGCATTCAGTAGATATGGAGTGACAAAAGAAGCAAAAATAATGCGCGGGTTAAATAATAAAGAGTATGCACGGTGGAATGAAGATCAGCCACAAACGGAAAAAAAGCATATAACATAAAGATACTTCTCTACTGCACACCTAAACTTAGAACAGTACATACCACATCCAGAAGCATCTGCTGCCAGCCTTGCACAATCAGATTAAACTACATTATTAGTGTATTCCACATGGAAAGATTTGAACGCCCACTCCACAGGATAGAAAACAAACCATGTTTTAAAGAGAATCCTGCCTATAAGAAAAAAAATGAAGAGTAAAGAATAAACAAACAAGGAATGCCCATGGAAACAAATGCTTGTCACCATCAATGATCTGCTTGGGGTGGCATCAAACCATGGTGTGCTCCCCAGCTGAACTAGGAATGCTTTTTATTTGCACATGGGAACTGTGGTGGACAACATTCCCAACCTACTACCCAGCTACTTTCTGAAAAAACCCAAAATGGTTATTTTTGAGTTCTATCTACTAGCATGCTGGGAGATTGAGACACTGTAAGACATGTACCTGGACAAGGAAAAATAGAAGGCTTTGTGACATCGAAGAGCTTGCCAACTCACATGGTGTTTAATTCATATGTAAGAGAGCAATTAACACACCCCCCCCCCCCCCCCCCAAAAAAAAAAAAAAAAGTTAATTTCGTAAATTTTTGTCTAGTGGCAAATAAATGTGCAAACTTAGGGACAAAAGGAACCAAAAAAAAAAAAAACAACAGCAAGAACAAGAACAATAGTGAAGCTTTCACTACTGAAAAGATCTTTTCTAAGTGATGTTTATAACAAACTAATAGTTAACTAAGCCTTCCTCTCGGTGGTTAAGAGTCAGTACATCCGTTCACTCCTCTTGGTTGTAACTGTACATATAAAAGGGGCCTAAATTATTGTGGCCCATATATGTATCTCGTATGATTTCATTTGTCTGCATAGTATGGAACAAAGTAATCCGTTTTTCAGATGTATCTGTCAAAAATTATGATCTCCAACCAAAAGTTTCAAGGTTTCATCTGGATACTTCTTAGTATCCCACAGGCAGTGAAACCTAAGCAGTATAAAGTAAAGGATAAACCATTAACGTCATATAGAGTTGTCCTACAACATCAAACCCACAAGAGAATAGTGCTTATATTAGCTGCAATACAGGATACCAGAAGACACGCCATGGACTCCATTCATTTCGCAATCTCTCTAGAAAATTTTATCCATAACTCACTCCACAATGGTCAGAACCTTTGCACATTGGATCGTGACCACAGGGGTTGTGTATCTTTCTTGAATGGGTATAATAGTGTTAGATATTTATGGGTAGTTTAGGCATTTTATATTACTTTGTTGCCCTAATATATAAAGGGCTTACATTATGTATCCTTGGTTAAGGTTGGATTATTGATTTTGATTAGTCTTAATAATATTAACATGGTATCAGAGCCACTGTTGAGGTGGAGTTACCTGGTGAGGTGATCTCGCCCTTCACCGACAGGTATTGCTGTTCATCGACCACCGTTGTTCGTCGTTGAATCGTTGATCGATTAAATCGATCGTTCTCCGTGGAATAGCTGTTGAGGTCTTGCTGTGGATGATTGAATAGGTTGTTGCTGGTCTGCTAGGGAGTTCGTCTAGAGGTTGAAGACGAAGTCCGAAATCCGTCTGGGTCCAGAGTTTGTTTGTTGGTTTGTTTTCTGTCTGGGTCCAGAGGTTGGGAGTTCGTCTGTCTTGGGGATTTCGTCTGGCTTGGGGACTTTGTCTGGCTTCGGGTTTCGTCTGGTTGGGTGTTCGTTCAGAGGTTGAAGACAAAGTCTGAGTATCCGTCTGTATCCTCTCTTTCGGGTTCAGGTCTTTACCTCTTTCGAGTTCAACTCTTGCCTAGATAACTTACCCAGATAAGCAACCTCTTCTTTTGGGTTCTGTTTATATCACACGATTTATTGGTGCAGAGGTTTGTTTGTTTATTGGTTTGTTTTCTTTTTACATCAACTGTGGGAAGGGTGTTTTCTGTCTTGGTTTAGACTGGTCGATTAGATTTTTGGTTGTGCTAGACTACTGTTTACCGTAAGAACAGCCCCTGCTGGCTGGTTTCTGTTTTGACCGGTGCATCTTATTGCTATTTTTTTTAATATTATGACAAATGGACATTTTGATTCATTTCAGGTTATTAGTGTCAGATTAAATGGTAAAAATTATGTATATTGGTCTTATGTTATGAAGAATTTCTTGTTGAGAAAATAGATGTGGAGTTATGTTAGTGGTGTTTTGCAAGCTCTAACAGATCCGAAGGAAGAGAGATATGCTGACCTAAAGAATACCTGAGAAATTAATAATGTTAAAATCATCACTTGGATTAACAACTTAGTTGATCAGACCATTGGTGTGCATTTGGCTAAGTTTAACACAGTCAAAGAGATTTGAGATTATTTAGTTACACTGTTTGTTCAGTCAAATTTTGCAAAGAGATATCAACTTGAACATGAACTTCGAGCTGCACGTCAGGGTGATAGGACCATACAGGAGTTCTACTCAGTTATGACTGAATTTTGGGATCAGTTAGCACTTGCTGAACCTGCTGAATTGAGTACTCATATGGTATATCGTACTTTTAGGGAGGAGCAGCGGGTGATGCAGTTTTTGATGGCACTTAGAGATGACTTTGAGGACCTCTGTGGTTCTATTCTACATCGTCTTCTACTTCCCACAGTTGATGCAGTAATGAATGAGCTTCTGGCTGAAAAAGTTCGTCTCAAGACTCTTTCTGGAAAGGCTCCTCTTCCATTGCCTAATCAGACTGTACTGATTGTACCACCCAGAGAAACTTCTTATTCACAGACTAAATATCGAGGTCGAACTGCTTCAAATGAGTGTAATTTTTGTCATGAGAAGGGTCATTGGAAGGCTCAATGCCCTAAATTGGTGAACAAGAATGCCAAGGGGGCCTTACATCATCCATTTTAGCCCAAAGATCGTCATACAACAGCAGCTGTTTCACCGGTGGATGAGTCACTCCCATCAACTCCCAGCATGACTATGCTAGTTGATCAGTTACAAAAGCTCCTTTCTCTTCATCAATCAAGTGCCCTATCAGTTTTTTCCTCCACTGGTTCATTCACTACAGGTCTATCAGGTATATCTCGAACTGTCTGGGTCTTTGACTTAGGAGCCACTCATCATATGACTAGTAATTCTTCCTTATTTGTTTCTATTGTTTCTCCTCCCTCTATATCTATTCTTGCAACCAATGACACCCAAATGTCTTTGGCTGGTGTGGGAACTATCGTGTCTTCTCAACTTACACTTTCTGATGTCTACTATATGCCTCAACTTACTTTAAATTTAATCTTTGTTAGTCAGTTGTTTGATTCAGAATTTTTAGTTCACTTTTCTTCTACTGGTTATGTTGTGCAGGATCCACGGTCCAAGAAGCTGATTGGGACATGCCATAGATGTGGAGGGTTATATGTGTTAGACGAGTTTCGTGTCCCTGAAATTGTTGTGTCTACTGTTGATTTATCTTCTTTTCAATTGAGTACAAAATCGTCTAGTTTTTATTTATGGCATTCTCGTTTAGGTCATGTTTCTCATTCTTGTTTAAAATTTTTATCTTCTACTGGTGGTTTGGGTAGTTTAGAGTGTCATGATATTTCAGATTATAGCAGCTGCAAGTTGGCTAAATTTACTGTATTACCTTTCAATAAAAGTAATTCTCGTTCTCTTGCACCTTTTGATATTATGTCTTTTTTATTGATGATCATACTAGATATTGTTGGGTGTATCTGATGACACTTAGGTTTGAGTTCTTTTTCATTTTCACTACTTTTCGTTATATGATTCTTACTCAATATTCTTTTATTATCAACTGTTTTCGTTGTGATCAAGGTGGAGAATATTCTTTTAGTTCTTTTCGTGATTTGTTGAAATTTGATGATACTATTTATCAGTCTTCTTGTACCGATACACCTGCTCAAAATGGAGTGGCTGAACAAAAATATCGTCACATTATTGAGACAACTCATTCTCTATTGTTGTCATCCAGTGTCCCTAGCGCTTTTGGGGGAGAAACAGTCCTTATAGCAGTTCACCTGATTAATTGCATTCCTACGATCCTTAATTCTGGTGTCTCAACTTTTGAAAAATTATGTAGTAAGACACTTGACTATTTCTCCTTACATGTGTTTGGATGTACATGTTTTGTTCTGCTACCTACTATAAATCGTACCAAACTCTCCGTTCGCTCAGCCTTATGTGTTTTTTTTTGGATACGGTGAGAGACAAAAGGGATTTCGGTGTTATGATCCTAGTACACAAAAATTGTATGTTTCTCGCCATGTTGTTTTTATGGAGCATATTCCTTTTTTCTTTATTCCATCTAATTCTTCATCTCTGCAAAAATCTGATATTATCTATCTTGATCCTTTTCCCCTCTAATGTTTCCCCTGACTTATATGTTGGTGATATGAATGCGGCTGCTCTTCCCCCTCCTCTTCTTCTTCCTCTTTGTCTGATGTGTCTGTTACCCGCCCCCTGATTGTGCATACTTATGTTCGCAGGACTCTCACTGTCTCCTCCATAGATGTTGTGCCTTCATCTGAATCTCTTGGCTCCCAATCAAATTTTGACACTGTGGATCACACTCCCCGCTACCCTCAATGCACTCGGAAGTGTCCTGACAGGTTTGGTTGGTCCAACTCTTGTTACTCTTCTGATTTTTGTTCTTTCCTGACTTTTATACATTCTCTGTCTGAACCAATCTCTTATAAGGAGGCTATGGATGAGGAGCTTTCTGCGTTACATAAGACTCGAGCTTGGGAGTTGGTGCCTTTACCTCATGGTAAATGCCCCATTGGTTGGAAGTGGGTTTATAAAATCAAAACTCAATCTGATGGTTCTTTGGAAAGGTACAAGACTAGATTTGTGGCCAAGAGATTTGCTCAAGAGTATAGACTTAACTACGATGAGACTTTTGCTCCAGTGGCTAAGATGACCCCGATTCGGACAGTAATTGTTGTGGGAGCTGTTCGTCAGTGGAGCTTCTCTCAAATGAATGTGAAAAACGTTTTTCTTCATGGTGATTTATCTGAAGAGGTCTATATGACTCCCCCTCCTAGGTTGCCTTGTAGTCCTGGTCATGTGTGCAAACTTCACAAGACTTTATATGGTCTTAAACAGGCCCCGAGGGCATGGTTTACAAAAAAAATTTCAGTCATATGAGACTTAGGATTCTGTGCTAGTGATCATGACTCTGCTCTCTTCCTTCGATCCATTTATTCTGATTTCATTTTTCTATTACTTTATGTGGATGACATGATTATTACAGGTGATGACAATGTTGGAATACAGCTATTGAAAACTCAGTTACAGGATTATTGTGAGATGAAAGATTTGGGTCCACTTCAATATTTCTTAGGGATTGAGGTTGTTTCTTCTCCAAGGGTTATCTTATTTCTCAGCCCAAATATACCTTAGATGTTATTCAACGAGTTTGCTTAACGGATACTCGGACAGCTGACACACCCTTGGAGCTCAACATTCGTTATACTTCTTCTGATGGTTCTCTTCTACCTGATCCTACCTTATATCGTACTATTGTTGGGAGCTTGGTGTATCTTACTGTTACTCGTTAAGATATTGCTTATGCGGTACATGTGGTTAGTCAATTTGTTGCCGCTCTTACTACACTTCACTGGTCTGCTGTTCTTCGGATTCTTCGATATCTACGGGGTACGTTGCATCAGAGTTTATTATTTTCTTCCTCATCATCTTTGGAGTTTCGTGCTTACTCTAATGCAGACTAGGCTGGTGACTCTATGGATCGTAAGTCCACTACTGGCTTTTGTCTCTTTCTTGGTGATTCTCTTATTTCGTGGAAAAGTAAGAAACAAACTGTTGTGGCTCGATCCTCTTCTGAAGTTGAGTATCGTGTTATGGCCTCCACAACAGCAGATATCGTTTGGTTGCGTTGACTATTTGTTGATCTTGGCATATCCTTGTCTGCTCCTACTCCTATGTATTGTGATAACACCAGTGTTATTCAGATTGCCCATAACTCGATGTTCCACGAGCGCACAAAATATATTGAGATTGATTGTCACTTTGTGCGCCACCATCTTCAGTTGGGCACGTTATCTCTTCCCTTTATTCCTTCTACTATGCAGTTGGCTGATTTCTTTACTAAATCTCACACCATCGCGCACTTCCGTTTCCTTCTTGGCAAACTCTTGATATTTTATGCCGCATCATGAGTTTTAGGGGTGATTTTAGAGTATTTATGGGTAGTTTAGGCATTTTATATTACTTTGTTGTCCTAATATATAAAAGGCTTACAT